AAGAGTTTCATTTTTATCACATTGGTATTTTAAATTAAATATGAATTTTTTTCCCCTAAAAAGTGGAAAATTTAGAAAAAAAATTTTCACGAAAATAAATTGTCACGCACAACGAGTCTGTGTGCAAAATGTCAGCTCGATTGGATCACGGGAAGTGGGTTAAAAACGACCGAAAGATTTGCACGATTGTAAGCGTGCAAGCAAGCAAGCAAGTGAACTTAATATAAAGGATTTAAAAAAGAAACATGCCTTTTCAAGTATCTTTCTACGAGTCACTTTTCCACTAGCTGATAGGATGCGACTGGCTGTGTGCAAGCAATACCAAAAAGCTTGTGAAGTGGCAAAGAGGTCTAAAGCAATGGACTCAGCCAACATTACGAAGATCCTTTGTTTTAATCTCAGCTTCCTATGCAATATCAATGCAAGGTCATCTTGGATGTTCGCAAAAATAGCATCTGCTTATTCAACAGATTTAATGGAATCGAATTTTTTTTTGCGCACGTATAAGTCAAGCTCTAATGGCGTTTTTGGCAAATGCTCATGAGCTCAGTGACCCATTTGTTTGTACAAAGCGTACAGGCATTACTTTCTCAGATAGACGCGCAATGCATTTTGAGAATGATGTTTCACGTGCAACAGCAAAGTGATGTAAATGTATCGACTCAACACGTAGGTTTTCTCAGCCAATATTGGGCTTCATTATTCAAGTTTAGATTTGGCCCACGTAATGATCTGACCAAATCTGTGATGGAAGACCCTCTACTACGTGATGCAGCAAACACATTAAATTGTCGCGTGCAAAAGTGTTTAATGCGCCAATCATGAGTGTCCAGCTCACTCACCGGTGAGATGGAAAATAATTCTCACAACCAAACATTGCGTTTAGATGCGTGACTTTTTCGCTTGACACTGCATCAAGCATCTTCAAGAAAATCTAGGAAGTCAGAATACAAATCCAGCAAGTTTAGAATAACTGCCTCGTCTGTAACCCAGCTTGTCAAATATGTGTCATGACATCAGTTTCAAAGTATGAAAAATAAGAAGAGGTTTTACCCTTTCTGGCAATAAAACAAGAGATGTTAAGATGTTTAAACACCAAATAGAAACCTTTTGTAAGGACTCAAGTATTGCATTAACCACACGTACTTGTGGTGAGCATGCAAGTATTGCATTAACCACACGTACTTGTGGTGAGCATGCAAACAAACATGCTCTGATAATCTCTGCATATATTTGTGGTCAACATGCAGACAAACATGCTCTGATAATATATGATGCATCAGTATCATATTCTTTGGGTCTTTCGGTAAAGTCACGTAGACAGATACAAAAAAATGAATATAAAATAAACAAGAAACTACGACGTTTCGATCACAACACAAGCGATCGTCATCAGGAGGAAATAGGGGAAAACTGCTGAATAGGGTGTAGTCATAGGGTCATAAATGAAGTGGGCGGGGCAAGTGATGTTAATGCGAGCGATTAGCATGTTAATGTGCGCGGGTGGCTATGTTAATTTAGAGATTAGCATGTTAATGGTAGATCGCAGAGCCACTGCGGGGTAGAGGTCGGCGTCTGGACGTCGCCGCGTTGGCGCGAGAAATTCAACCTGTTAATGTGAAATCGGAGAGTCGAAGCCACGGGGAAAAAATAAAAAAATAACATCGGAAAGTGGCATGATGGGAACACAGCCAGTTATGACTTAAACTGGTTGATGGCGTCTTTCCAATGATTGCTGAGTTTGTACCCATTCGCTCAGTTGAAATTGTGTCTGTATATATGGATGGCTTCATGAACTAATCTTTGTGGATAGCCAGTGGGCTTGCAAAGTACCTTAGTCTTAGAGAAATCTATTTCGTGTGAGCCCACCGCATTAAAACTATGATCAGCCCCGGCCGACGTGTTGGTTCTACCGTGTTTCAAATCTGCCTTATGCTCACGAACACGGTCCGAGACATGTCGCTTAGTTTAATTTGTACCTATCTACGTGACTTTACCGAAAGACCCAGAGAATATGAATTCCTGCTGTCACGAAAGCTTTAAGTCAACAATTTACATCCGTGTCAGTTTATATGAAGTAAAACGCCCCACTTATGGTTCACTGTCTCCGTAGAGCAGGTGAGGGGCTGGACAATTCTAAATACATTGACTCGTAAAAATAATTTTCCTTATATGGGGTGTGGAGTCCCCGCGCATGGCGGGGCTGTATCTTGTGATTGCTTGGGCAGTGTTTAGCGTGTGCAGATGTAGTGGTGATACGCGCTGGCAGGAGGGATCGTGAGGCAGCGCGTGGTGATTGGTTACATCGAGTGGGTGCTCACATCGCTGTCCGCATAGGCTCCGCCCCCTCGGGAGCGGAGGGCTATGTAAGGCGATGCGCGCGGGCACTCGGGGAGTTGGTAACCGGTGAAGACAGAAGACGGAGGAAGAGTTAGGCCCTGGGACCCCTAGCCCCGCTGCCCTTGTAAGGGCCGGGGTTCTGGGAGGCTCAGAGGCGAGGCCTTGGGATTCACGGTCCGACGCCCTTGTAAGGGCTTGGGCTGTGTAGCCCAGTGGTCGAGACCCGTGGTCTAACAAGAGGGGTCTGATAGCTCCCCGTGGGGAGAGCGTAGCCAGAGAGCCTGAGTCGAGACAGAGTTAGGTGCGCGTACCCCACGGGGAAGACGGAGTGCGTGGCCGAGTCAGGCACGTGTGACATAGGTGTTATCTCGGTTGGGACTGTTACGTGTGCAACCGTTGTGAATAAAGAGTGCTGCCCCGTCAACTCGTCTCCCGCCATTATTGAAGATATTACACATGCACAGATATGAACCACCGTAGATCCTTTTCAGTGACTGGATACAAAATGTAAGCGCGTAGGTGAAATAGTGGCCCGGGTTGCATTGTTGGAATTGCTTTCTGCTCTTCCACCGAGTACAGCGAGGTCATATCACTTGAATGATGACGTTAATTCATTCTTCAGCCAGGAGGCACTCGGGCGGTAGGCTCTTCTTGCACTTGGAAGCCTACGAGTTCAAGTCCTGGGTGTGGTCAACCCCAGGCTATCATCTCTCCAATGGTTTTAAAATAAGTGTCGCTTTGCAGGAAGTCAACGGTAAAAAGATGATCGTCGCCATGGAAATGCATTGTGGGCGCTTGTATTAAAGAGGATATCTCATGCTGTATGTATGTTGCATTTCTTTCGCACCGTACGTAACCAGCTGTGCTAATTGGAGGTGTGGGGGAAGGACAGCAAACTGAGCACAAAACGAAGTTCTGAATGTAGTTGATAAATATTTGTATAGAAAAGACGCAAGTAGTTCCTACCTCACTGCACTGGATAGATTTCAGAGTGAAGCAGTCACAGTGATTGATGATCCAGCACTCACCAGGTTCACGCCAGGTCACTCGCTCACCAGCGGTCTGTCGCCTCCTTTTCACTCTTCTATCGCCGCTACCCTGGTTACCGTTCTCGTGAACTTCACTCGTTGATTCCTCCACCCACGTTGAGGACTCGGGGTCAACCAGACACTCATCCACCACACTGCAGGTCTCAAGAGCATAACAAAGACAAAGATCCTCCTTATAGCCTTTAAACGTATTGTTGGGGCAAGTGCTGTTATCAAGCACCTATGAAGGCCGGCACGGCACACTCGGGGGTGGGTGTCCAGCAACACGCCCGGCCGCCTTCGTCCCCTAGTGGAGATATTTACACGTCGCACCAGGTACCCATTTACGGACTGAGTCGACCTAATGGAGGCCCAGGACCGAATCAGATAATTGTCACTGGTGTCGGCCGTGACTGCGCTACGAACTCGGCTCGCCAAGTTCGTAGCGCAGTGCGCTAACCGCTACACGACCGCTGCTTGCTCTCAATAACCTGCTCACTCACCCACACTGCGGGTCACAAGCACTTCTTTTTCTGATTCTTACCTTGCACTGCTCCACTTCGGAATTCCCTCCCACCGTTGCTAACCGCACGTTGTTATGAATAATATTGCATAATTCCATCAACGTTTTACACGCTTACCTATTACAGCTTTGAGAGTGCTGCTCGTTGCTGGCCACTTGATGTTTTGCGACTTTGGGCCAGTGTTTAGCAACCTGTACAAAAAATGGATACTAACGTATTGTCATGCAATGATACGCCCATTTACGCCCTCTTGTTTTAAGTACTTTCGCTATAACGTACTCAAATTATTGCATACCTGCCAACCCATACGGTTTACCCATATTCTTGTACAGGGAAATAGAGTTTTCAGGTCCATACGGTGTACAAGAATTTCAATACGGGCAAAAAGCCCCATAATTTTGATCTATTTGTGTTTCTCCCTTGTGATGGGACTTGGAGGATGAACGCTGAGATGTATAAGGGGCACGGGGTGACCAATAAGGTCTAAATTGGTGTGTAATAAGGTAGGGCACCGATAAGGGATTGACAGGTACGTTATTGCGACCCAATCCCGTTTGACGTACTACTGTGATAGCTCGCCAGAACGTACTCGCGAATTTACGAACTTTACCATTAAGACCCAACATTGTTTACGCTGCATAGCGACATTTATGCCCCAGATGGAGCCAAAGCATTAGCGTCCCTGACCACAGGGACGCTAATGTGTGCACTCGATTCATATCCCCCCCCACGTACCGTATTTATGGCGACTATTTTTTATAAACGTGTAAACCGTGTTTTCATACGATAAACAACGAATAAGAATAATACATTGAATATAATAGACAAAGGAATATATCGTAATATATCAATAACACTATGAAACACAATTTTTCTTCCTGGGTAGTAAGTGTTATTTCCTAATTGCCTAAAAAGTATAGAAAATGGCTATTATTCCCCACAAACTTTGATTTTGTGACCAGGACAGTGATATTTTGAAATGTATGTATTTTCAATGAGAAAACGGGCGAATTTGTTTCTTTTCGTTCACATAAAGTCAGAAAAAAACAACATAGTAATCATAATTAACATGTATTTATACTAAAGTAATATAGACATGACTACAAAAGATTTAGAAGTAGTTTTTCGAGATATACGATTATACTGTAAATCACTTTCACGAATGAGCCCCCAAATGTAGTCTCCCATTATGTTCTCGTTATACTGTCCTTGGTAGCGGCGTTCAAAGTCCAGTATATCCTGGTGGAAGCGCTCGCCTTGCTCCTCCGAGTATGCCCCCATGTTCCCCTTGAATTTATCAAGATGAGCATCAAGGATATGGACTTTGAGGGACATCCTACAGCCCATTGTGCCATAGTTTTTCACCAGTCTCAACCAGCTCCACATATTCTTGGTTCTTTTCGGTAAAGTAACGTAGAAGGGAAATAATAAAGTAATAAAAATATAAAACAATAAAAATTATCACGACGTTTCGACTGCAACACAAGCAATCATCATCAGGTGTGAAATCCACAGCAACAACATTTGAAATAAGTGGCGTTTTTTCCACCACTTTTTTCAAATTTTCTTGCTGTGGATTTCACACCTGATGATGATTGCTTGTGTTGCAGTCGAAACGTCGTGAGAATTTTTATTGTTTTATATTTTTATTATTTTATTATTTCCCTTCTACGTTACTTTACCGAAAGAACCAAAAATATGAATCCCTGCAGTCACGAAACCTTTAAATAAAAATTCAGCTCCACATAGTTTTCAACCTTGTGATTGCCCAGGAAGCCACGAACCACTGCGACAAAGCTGTTCCAAGCCGCTTTCTCCTTAATAGTTAGCTTCTTGGGGAGTTCATTGCACTCCAGGATCTTCTTTATCTGTGGTTACTCCCCACAGAGAACTCGGTCCACTATGGCCAGTCCCGCCTGTGGTAGTGTGTGCCTTGGTGTTCCTGCTGTCCCAAAGGCAAAGATAGCAGGGAAACTTGATAAAACCGCCTTTGAAACCCATCAGGAATGCCACCATTTTGAAGTCTCCTATGACCTCCCAGCCGTACTCATCATACTTCAAGGCGTCCAGAAAGGTCTTGATGTTGTTGTAATTCTCTTTGAGGTGCACCGAGTGAGCCAGGGGAAGCGACGGGTACTTGTTACCATTATGGAGCAGGACGGCTTTGAGGCTCCTGGATGAGCTGTCAATGAAGAGGCGCCACTCATTCTAGTTACAGGCGATTCCAATTGCTTCGAACAGACTTGTCACATTGTGGCAGAAGCAGAGCCTATCTTGACGGGTGAAGAAGCTGCAAAAAAGTTGGTGACGCTTCCTCTGATCTGCGACTTACACACTTTCATTCAACAAGTTTTACTGCTTGAGCCTAGACGTCAAAAGCTCGGCATTGGACTTGGTGAGACCAAGGTCTCTGATAAAGTCGTTGAGATCTTTTTGGTTGTGGTAGTATGGGTTTCTCTCCTAAGCTCCACCTTGGAAATTGTCATCTGGATCTATGTCTTCCTCACTCTCTGACTTGCTGCTCTCTTCTAAAAGCGGCTGCTCTCCGGACGAGTGGGTATGGGGAGCTCATGGCAGTGTGGCACCGGGGTGATGGATGAAGGAAGGTCCGGATACGTGATAGCAGGTGCATTCTTGCCAGTCCGACGTTTTTAAGGGTCCACCATGCAGAAGTAGCAGTTGCTTGAATGGTCAGTGGGTTCCTGACAAATTATTTGGATAGCGAACTTCATGACTCTATTTTCCCCTCTGTACCATCCTACAAAAATAAATTTACTTCACCTATTACTGTGTAAGAGATTCTCACAATATTTTTCATACGTGGTATATATTTTCAATAACATTGAAAATTGTAAAAATTTTAAAATTTAATTTTTTATAATTAAAAAAATGGTAACAATTTTTTCACGTAAAATTCCGAGCAACAATTGTACATCTTACCTTCCAGAGTTTTTTTGCATTGCTCGCAGATGAAATGAGGTGCCCAGGGTTTGTCTTGATCCCCGACAGGCATGCCGCAATATGCCTTGTAGGCCTCACACATCTTAGCAGATGCTTCCACAGAGTATTTTTTCGCTCTTGTCTTGATAAATTGGCCGCAGACATAGCAAAATGCATCTTCCCGATGCTTGCAGCCTCTTGATGCCATCTCAGAAAAATGCAGATATGTATCCACTTAGTCAGCTGGAACTAAACTGAACTGTTGGGCTTAAGGCCCCTGTATTTATACTATTTATATTACTGGATAGTTCTAGAATGTTCTAGAAGTTACTCCAAGTTTACTCAGCACTGAATGTTCTGGAAAATAGATAAATTTCAAAATATCACTATCCTGGTCACAAAAGAAAGGTTTGTGGGGAATAATCACCATTTTCTTTACTTTTAAGGCATAAGCAATTAGGAAATAACACTTACGACCCAGGAACAATAAATAAAAAAAATCTTACACTGTAATATATCACTTAATTTCCACACCGATGGCTGTTCAGTATAGATGCACAATGGGTTGACTGAGAATCCTCTGCTGAGGTTCTGTACCACGTTACGTGGTACAGGTAGTAGTACCTACTCGTAATAGTACGTACTAGTAGTAGATTCCGTACCACGTTACAATCCACCATCTCTAGTAGTAGTAGTACCTACGACTATTACTAGCAGTATTCGGTACTCAATCACGTAACGATCCACCATCCCATCTCTTCGCATGTATTTCATTACTTTCGATAAACATTCTGGTTTTGAGGAACGCATCCTGCTTGTATTTATCCCTTCTGCTTCTTATGTTCCGATATTCCCCGAGGTCTCCCTTGAAAAGAGGATATCCATGCCTCAGTGTCCTCTTACCTGGCTTAATAATGACCACCAACCCACAGGGGAGATGCATCGTCAAGAGGTTATGTATTTTATTCCCAGTCACTGCATTGCCAACAGAACCATAATTTATCAGAGTAAAACCATAATTTGGAGATATTGTTGAGCAGTATTTGATGGTAGTGCTAACGCCATAAACTTACTACATGGGAAAACCTCGTAAAATGTTGGCTGAGGTATAAATTCTGGCACATTCCCTCTGTCTGCTCCAGAGCCCCTGCCACTTGGGGTGTATCCTATTTCACCCAGTAGAGGGAGCACATGACCTTTGATATTGTCAAACAAGCTGTATATCGTTTAATTGAGCTTCTGTCTTGAAATGCATACAATCATGGATTAATTTTAGCCAACTCTGTCTGGTTCAATGATCCAAAAAATATGTTTTCATCCGGCACACCACATTCAGTATTCCCCTAGCTATTTCTGCATGTGTTACCTACTCCAGTCTACCAGTAACCCAAACATATGCAGTGATACAGTAAGACGTGTATAGAATGCATGTTTTATAATGTCTCAAGTTTCTTCCAATATCTCAATAAAGGTAAACTTTTATTCCAAAATTCTACTTGCCTTCATACATAATTTCTTTTGCATTTTCTTTGTTTCTAATTTGCATAATCAACTTGGAAAATTTAATCAAAATGATTTCCCCAGCGTTGCAGCACATATTAAACCAACAATACAGATATTAACATCAATGTCAGCTGCATTGCAGAAAAGTTGCACCATTTAAATATGGCTTCACATTCACTTTTATCTTGCATATCATATAAAAAGAACAACCCTTGTACTGTGCCGTAATTTAGCATAGTTTCCATTTGCCTCAGAGCAACCACGGGCCTTTTATCAGTCATAGGAGGCATGTGTTCTTAGTCAGCCACAACGATGGGGGTATACAATGCACGTATATTAGCTCCCAGAGAGGGTAATTTTACATATGTGCATTTTATAATATCGAACCTGCTGTGATGCAGTGACCCACAGCCAGACAGTGCAGGACTTGCTTAATGAGACTTGGGGAATTGACACTTAAATCACATTGGAATTAACGTGCTGCACTCTTTCACCCAGGCATAACTAATAGTTGTCTATCAAGTGTCCTTGAACAGCGGACTTATTAATAAGGCCTTTGAGCAATTGTTTGGAAATTACCACACATTTGAATCCATCCATACCGTGGAAAGGAATGAGTCATTTTATAATGTTTTCGGTTTTCTGGGTGCTCTCGTGGTCCTGCACGCTCGCCACTTAGCCGGTTTTCTTCGATGAGGCAGTGTGGTTCGTTCGATTTCCACTGCTGGCTAAAATGTCTGTGGGAAATGAGACTAACCCTCCCGATGGCGAGCCTCGAGAATCAGTGAGGCTCTGTTGAATATATCTTAAGTCGGAGTGATATCCTGCACAAATGAGCATTGAGGTGGTGCTCATGTTATCTTTATAGTCCTGAGCCAGTGGTGGACATTACACACATGGGGACGAGTCTATCTCTGGGGACGAGTCTATCCATAGGACAAGAACTGTTGACTTCCCCACAAAGTGGTATTTATATTATCAACCTCCAGGGGATGATGGGCTGAGTGAACCCCCAACCAGGATTGAAACTCCAAACTTTCCCACTGTGAGCCGCTCGCTCTACCGCATAGCCTGATTGTTTTACGCAAATAAAAAAAATGCTGATTTGAATCACAGCAGCGGTATAACAGAAATGTATTATTGCATCTAGGTTATGCAAAATATACATACGGTGAGGGAAAAAGTATTTGATCCCCTGCTGATTTTGTACGTTTGCCCACTGACAAAGAAATGATCAGTCTATAATTTTAATGGTAGGTTTATTTGAACAGTGAGATACAGAATAACAACAAAAAAATCCAGAAAAACGCGTGTCAAAAATGTTATAAATTGATTTAATGAAGTTTTTGACCCCTCTCAATCAGAAAGATTTCTGGCTCCCAGGTGTCTTTTATACAGGTAACGAGCTGAGATTAGGAGCACACTCTTAAAGGGAGTGCTCCTAATCTCAACTTGTTACCTGTATAAAAGACACCAGTTCACAAAAGCAATCAATCAATCAGATTCCAAACTCTCCACCATGGCCAAGACCAAAGAGCTCTCCAAGGATGTTAGGGACAAGATTGTAGACCTACACAAGGCTGGAATGGGCTACAAGACCATCGCCAAGCAGCTTGGTGAGAAGGTGACAACAGTTGGTGCGATTATTCACAAATGGAAGAAACACAAAATAACTGTCAATCTCCCTCGGCCTGGGGCTCCATGCAAGATCTCACCTCGTGGAGTTGCAATGATCATGAGAACGGTGAGGAATCAGCCCAGAACTACACGGGAGGATCTTGTCAATGATCTCAAGGCAGCTGGGATCATAGTCACCAAGAAAACAGTTGGTAACACACTACGCCGTGAAGGACTGAAATGCTGCAGCGCCCACGAGGTCCCCCTGCTCAAGAAAGCACATATACATGCCCGTATGAAGTTTGCCAATGAACATCTGAATGATTCAGAGGACAACTGGGTGAAAGTGTTGTGGTCAGATGAGACCAAAATGGAACTCTTTGACATCAACTCAACTCGCCGTGTTTGGAGGAGGAGGAATGCTGCCTATGACCCCAAGAACACCATCCCCACTGTCAAACATGGAGGTGGAAACATTATGCTTTGGGAGTGTTTTTCTGCTAAGGGACAGGACAACTTCACCGCATCAAAGGGACGATGTGCAGGGCCACCATGTACCGTCAAATCTTGGGTGAGAACCTCCTTCCCTCAGCCAGGGCATTGAAAATGGGTCGTGGATGGGTATTCCAGCATGACAATGACCCTAAACACACGGCTAAGGCAACAAAGGAGTGGCTCAAGAAGAAGCACATTAAGGTCCTGGAGTGGCCTAGCCAGTCTCCAGACCTTAATCCCATAGAAAATCTGTGGAGGCAGCTGAAGGTTCGAGTTGCCAAACGTCAGCCTCACAACCTTAATGACTTGGAGAAGATCTGCAAAGAGGAGTGGGACAAAATCCCTCCTGAGATGTGTGCAAACCTGGTGGCCAACTACAAGAAACGTCTGACCTCTGTGAATACCAACAAGGGTTTTGCCACCAAGTACTAAGTCATGTTTTGCAGTAAAAGTATTTCATCAGGGGATGAAATACTTTTTTCCCTCACTGTACATGCAATGGGATATGAAGCATATGTAAAAAAAAATCACATCAACTCATCCATTTAAAATATGTAGCAATCTCTATTCCTTATTAATTGCAAAATAGGTAAGGGATGTTAATGGGGTTTCACCTGGTTAAGTAAAGGACATCAATTACTTGCGTTTTTTATTCATTTAAGAAATTACAATTTATTAGTGTCAGATTAACACCTATTTTAATAGGCATTTAACACCAACGTTTTGTTGTTGACACATAACTCTAAGGCTCTGTTGTGTGTAATGTTGTTTTCCATTTAGTGCGAAACCTGTGGTAATAGTAAACTAAAATGACTTTAAGCCACGATTTTACTTAGGTAATCTAACATGTCACATTTTAAGTTGAAAAAAAAGAAAAGATCTTGGAAATTAATCATTTATGTCGATTTCCCAACATCAGTTGTAGAAACTACACATCCTTCCGATGAACGCTGGACTGTTTAATAGACAACGACTGTGGACAAAATGGTGCTCATTTTATCAACACGTTAGGAGAATGATGGACTGTCACCCCTCAACTGAATTTTTAATTAAAAAACCGCTATCCTGCGATATTTTCGAGAACTATTTTGGAAATGTGATTTTGTTACAATGAAATGTAAACATAATTGGTTTAGGCTGTGACAAAATCAGACTCCCGGGCATAAGATGGATGAATTACTAGACAGATTTACGTTCTGCCCATAAGTGAAAACCTTTTGTAGTCCAGCAGCCTATGGGCACTCCAGAATACTGTGGTCCATGAACATTAGATAACGAAGCAAAATACGAATGAAAAATCTGATGTCTTATTTATATATCGGCCATAATGATATTTGACAGTCCATTCTGGGTTTAAAATATATTATTTGGTGATACTATGGTGGCAATTATGCACTCGAATATTTTTTTTTTAACAACACTGCTTTAAAAGGAAAATAATATGAATAGACGATGGTTTGACCTATGCCCCTTCTTCATTGCACTTAGAGAGATAGAGTGGAAAAGAGTTGGAAACCAAACTTTAACACCTTGGAGCCTGATACGATTTAAATGTAAAAAGTGTTTCCTGATGAACAGTTATCAAATTGGAGCATGAATTATTACCTATTAGTGGAT